AGGAGAGTGAAAAAGCTGACTTAGAACAACATGAAAAAACTGAGATCATGGCATCCAGTCCCATCACTTAATGGCAAATAGATGGGGAAACAATGGAAACAGTGAGAGACTTTATTTTCTTAGGCTCCAAAATTACCGTGAATGGCGATTGCAGCCATGAAATTAAAAGATGCTTGCCCCTTGAAAGAAAAGCTAGACAAACGTAGACAGTGTATTAAAAAGCAGAGACATTACTTTGCCAACAAAGATCTGTCTAGTCAAAGCTACAGTTTTTCCAGTAGTCATGTATGGATGTGAGAGCTGGACCACAAAGAAGGCTGAGTGCCAAAGAAATGATGCTTTCACACTGTGGTGCTGGAGAAGACTCTTGAGAGTCCCTTGGACATCAAGATCAAACCAGTCAATCCTAAAGGAAATCAACCCTGAATATTCATTGGAATGAACGATGGTAAAGCTGAAGCTCCAATAATTTGGTCACCTAATGTGAAGAGCCAACTCATTGGAAAAAACCCTGATGCTGGGAAAGATTGAGGGTAGGGGGAAAAGGGGCAACAGAAGATGAGAAGGTTGGGTGGCATCACTGACTCAATGGACATGAGTTTGAGCAAACTCTGGGAGGTAGTGAAGAACAGGGAAGTCTGGTGTGCTGCAGTCCATAGGGTCGGAAAGAGTCGGACACAACTAAAGCGACTTAGAACACACATGTACTAAAGGTATACAATTTTCATTTGTAAATCATATCTCAGGAAGGCTGGCAAAAAATAAAAACAATAAGAAAAAGAAAATGTGTGTTCATTCTTAGGAATCTATTCCTGAACACAGCTGAAAGGCTGGAGTTTTATAGTGCAAGTGGAGTTTTACCTTCAGTAATATAGGAACTTAGAACTTTAAGTGAGTTGGGAATTGAAAGAAGGTACTGGAAAAAAAGGGGGAAAACTGAAATAAAGGTCCATATTTCTCCAGATGGCACCTTACTCAGCAGTGTGCTGCAGTGTAACAAGTATGGACTTAGGATTCAAACCAAATCCTGCCACTTTCCTTCATTCAGCGCATATTTGAGCACCTACCATGTTCCAGGAAATGAATTGCTGGATGACCTTAGGTAGACAACTGTTTTGAACTTCATTTTTCTCATCTGGAAAACTAAAGGTAACACACCTCATTGGGGATGTTTCAGACATGAAATGAAGTAGATATGACGTAAATCATATATTCAGAACATCAGCTCTGTGCTTGAGTCTGCAGTGCGCTAGGACCCTGAGTTTCCACCCTAACTTACTTTCTGATAAGATTGGACAGCCCTGGCCCACACTTGGGCTGGGGCAGTGGACTGGCACCCCGCTTGTTGTGTCTTCTGCTAAACTATCCGCCAGACATCCTGCACTCCCACCAGCTGGAGCAGAGAACACGATGGGAGTAGAAACAGCTTCTAACAAGGCTGGCTTGGCTTGATCTGGACCAGTTAGTTGAGGGAAGAGGAAGCCACTGAGGCACCTAGTGGACCATCACACTCACGCTGCTTGCCTCATGGCAGTCTTTCCACCTCTCCCTGACTACCATTAGCTAAGGTCTATTCAGGTGTCCTGTATGCAGAGAGAAGAGGCAAAGGTCGCTTTCTCTTTGCCACTGAGGAAACCTGTGCTCCATTTCTTCCACTGAAGAAATGGAACGAAGATGGTGCTTTCCCAGGAGCTATCTGGGCTCTCCCAGCCCTTCTTCTTGGGAAGGACTTCCTCAAAGATGATTCCAGGCATCCTGCCTTTCTCCCACAACAGCAGAAGCAGCCAGATGGGCAGGCTGTGGATGCTGCCATGTGGGTGCCTCCAGGAGTCCACCTGCCTGTGACTGCCCCTGCAGCCAGTCAAATGCTGCTAGGCGCTGTGGTTGGGAACACATCCCTGCAGCCCCAGCTGACGCCCAAAGCCAGCCAGATGCCTCTGGCATTCGCTCTCAGAAATCTGATGGCTGTGCATGCTCCTTCCTCATGTTTGTCACCTGCAATTCAGAGTCCTGCCCTGGTGCCCCTGACCAGTGAGCTCCACATCACAAGCTTCCAACACAAGTTTTTGGGCTCCCATCTGGAAAAATCAGAACACCTAAAGTAGGAAATTTTCCAAGCATCAAAGCATGTGTCCAAAACCACCCCCCAGTGTGTGAAATGTCTACTTTATATCCCCTCCGAGGGCTCTCATCATCTTCCTAGTCCTGTCTCTTTCCTTCTGATGGACTCGGGCCCTGGACCCTGTGTTATAGCTGAGCCTGAGATGTTCTGCAGGGCAACATGAGCCAAGAGGGGAATTCAGATCAGCCCCTTTGGATAGCGAGAAACAAGGGGATGCTGCCTGGGCTTAGGACCCCAGGACTTGGTGAGGGGAATGGTGCCAGGGTGGAGAAGGCCTTTGTTAAACTCCTTCTTAACTAGGTGGCTCAGATGGTAAAGCATCTGCCTACAATGCAGGAGACCGGGGTTCAATCCCTGGGTTAGGAAGATAGCCTGGAGAAGGAAATGGCAACCCACTCCAGTATTCTTGACTGGAAAATCCCATGGATGGAGGAATCTGGTAGGCTACAGTCCACGGGGTCTCGAAGAGTCAGACACAACTGAGCGACTTCACTTTCACTTTTCTTAACTAGACTCATAATATGTAGACCTGGGAAGCCCTTGGAGGAGCACTGAGTGAAGATCACAAATTCAAATGCCTACAGGGGGAAGTCAAGCAGGTAACAGTGAAAGAAGTAGGCAGGTCAAAAGACAAGAGGAGGGAGGGGGGGACCGGGATGGGGAACACATGTAAATCCATGGCTGATTCATGTCAATGTATGACAGAAACCACTACAATATTGTAAAGTAATTAGCCTCCAACTAATAAAAATAAATGAAAAAAATAAAAAATAAAAAAAACAAAATGAAAAAAAAAAAGAAAGACAGACAACAGGATAGTTGCTCTGTGGAGAATGCCATTTTAGGCATTACAGTATAAATTTTTTAAAAGGCTTGTTTAAAAAAAAAGGCTTGTAAAGGTTGATAAGAGTCAGAAAGTGGCTTGCCTGGGAGGCAGTGAGGAGGGGATGTTGAGTAATCAGAAGCATGAGGGAAACTTCTGGGGTGATGGAAATGCACTGCATCTTGCTTTGGGTAGTGGTGACTCTGTGTATACATTCATCAGATAAACTTCATCAAACAAATACTTAAGATTGGTATGTTTTGTCATGTTTTAATTATATCTCAATTTTTTACTTTTTATTTTGGCAAATTAATAAAGTTTATCTATAAAGTGATTTGACACTCAGGCTACCTACTTGCAGTGCTGCAGAAGACTCTTGAGAGTCTCTTGGACAGCAAGGAGATCAAACCAGTCAATCCTAAAGGAAATCAATCCTGAATTTTCATTGGAAGGACTGATGCTGAAGCTGAAGCTCCAATACTTTGGCCACCTGATTTGAAGAGCCGACTCGCTGGAAAAGACCCTGATGCTGGGAAAGACTGAGGGCAGGAGGAGAAGGGGAAGACAGAGGATGAGATGGTTTGATGGCATCTCCAGCTGGATGGATGTGAGTTTGAGCAAGCTCCAAGAGATGATGATGGACAGGGAAGCCTGGCCTGCTGCAGTCCATGGGGTCTCAAAGAGTCTGACACACGACTTTGTGACTGAACAACTACCTATTTACAAACATCTGTTCCAATCTGACTTCTTTACCTTACAAGTGAGGCATCAAGAACCCCTGAGGGGAGAGGGGAGGAGGGTTTTTCCCAAGCGCTCAGAAGAAACCTGCATGCCCAGAGATGGCTGCGGTCCCCGGCCAGGGGTAGGGAGACTGCAGCCTGGTTTAGCTGGCTGCCTCTCACCGCGTAGATTCGCTCCTGCCTTTGGAGCGGTGCCCATAGGCCGCGGTGTTAACAGAATCTCTCCGCGGGCGGTCCCTAGGGTTTGGACAGGCGTCAGCCCTAGCCTGAAAGTGAGAAGATCACCTAGAGCCGCCGAGAGGAGCGGAAGTGGATGGAGCGCCAGGCCCCAGGGAGCACGGGCCGGGCGCGCAGATAAATCACGGACACCAGAGGCGCGGACCGTTCGGGATTGGCACTGAGAGCCAAATGCCGACGCAGGCAGCCAAGTTCTGGGAAGGGAAATCTGATCCGGATCGCGGCAGACGTGGTGCAAAGTGAGACCCACCTGAGCGGAGCGGGAAGGGGCTGCCAACCGCGATGGAGTCTCCTCTCCCGCGGGCGCCCGGGCACCGGTCGAAGTCTCACCTGGCTCCCTGCCCTGCCCGAGGAGGTAAGGGGTCTCCGCTCTAAAGGAGAGAAAAGTAAGGCTCACTGCCGCTTCTCCGAGCCTTGTAAGAACTGAGGTGGGACTCCAAGCCCGGTCGTCTGCTCTCCCGCATCCAGAGCAAGTTTAAGGATCTGCAGGACTGACTCCTAGCCCGTCACAAAGCAGACGTGTTCCCGGTTTCGATGTAGGCGCCCCACGCGAGAAGGAGCCCGGGGGAGAAATGGGCCCGCGGGGCGGGGGGTGGGGAGCTGGGGCTGCGTCCCGGGGCCAGGCTACCCGCCGGGACTTTCCGGACGCACGGAGCCCGGCCCTCCCGCCGGCGCCCGCACTGATTGGCGCTCGCGGCCGGCCTGCAGCCAGCTCACCTGCCCCTCCCAGCCAATCGGGGCCACCAGAATTGGGGCTGTCGCAGGGAGAGGGGAATGATGCTGTTGACTGGAGGCTGAGCCTCCCTCCCCGCCGGGCCGGCCGCAGCCCGGAGCCCGAGCCGCAGGCTGCGCGCCCCCTCGCCCCTAGCCGCCGCGCTCCGGGCCCCGCGCACTTGAATGCCGCAGCTCCCGGCCCGCACCGCTCCGCGTCTCCGCCGGCTAGGACGCGCCCCGACGGCGCCGGCCGACGCCGCTTCCCCGCAGCCTCGAGCCGAGCCCGCCGGAGCCCTGAGCCCCGCGTCCCTGCCGGCCCCGGGGAGCGGGTGGGCCCGGCCGCGAGCAGCCCCGCCGAGGCAGGATGTTCACGTCCAAGTCCAACTCGGTGTCGCCCTCGCCGTCTCTGGAGCAGGCCGACTCGGACGCTCTGGACATCAGCACCAAGGTGCAGCTCTACGGCGTGCTGTGGAAGCGCTCCTTCGGGAGGACGTCGGCCAAGTGGTCCCGGCGGTGAGTGCCCCTCCCGCGCCGAGGGAGGACCACCTGGGGAGGGAACCAGGGCCTAAGGACCCCCTACCGAACCGCTCACTGCCCTCCTGCGCCTGCCTTTCTTGTGACCTTGGCCTCGCCCCGTTTCGCTCTTCGCTGGCTCCTTCTGGAAGATGTGGATCCCAACCTCGGGCCGGGTCATCCCTGCCGGAGTCTGATCGAACTGGGGTGGGGCCGCTGAGTTCTCTGTGGAATGGATCTAAGTCGGGTTGGGAAGAATGGGCGCGGGCGGAAGAGATCGTGGCCGTGGTTGGAGCCCAGTTGGGTCAGATTGGGCTGTACTCTGCAGGGAGAAAGAAGCCCTGTCTTCAGCCAAACAGCCTCCCTGGGACCCCGCCCCCAATTCCATCATATTCACAACCCTCTGCCCCAGGCTTCTAGAAGTGGGCACAGAGGTGGGGCATGGGTGTCCTACCTCCCACCCCCCACTTCCACCTACCCTCAACAATCGGGTACCTGCAATGAGGGAGCTTCTGAAAAGCACTGGCCAGGGGCGGGAAGAAGGGTCTGGGAGAGTCTGTGCCCATCCCTAGAGGAGTCTTATTGGGAACTGGGGCTTCCCAGGTGGAAGCTGGGGCTTCTTTAGTTGTAAAGAACCTGCCTGCCAGTGCAGAAGATGTAAGAGATTGAGTTTGATCCCTGGGTTAGGAAGATCCCCTGGAGGAGGGCATGGCAACCCACTCTAGTTTTCTTGACTGGGAAATCCCATGTTTAGAGGAGCCTGGCACGCTACAGTCCTTGGGGTCACAAAGAGTTGGAAACGACTGAAGCAACTTAGCATGCACAAGCACGCGTGTGTGTCTTTAAGCTGGGCCTAAGGAAGAGAGACTCCAGTGATTCAGGCAGAGAAGCTGGAACAGAAAGGAGGGACTCTTGAGGGTTGGGGGAAGGGAGATGGGGCAGGACTGAGGATGGATGGGTCCTGTCAGAAGGACTGATCCTGTGGAAGGGGTGGTGGGGAAGGTCAGAGCAGCCTGGGTCTTTGGCATCAGCTTCCTGGTCCCAACTCCAAGGCTACTCCGCAGAGGCCAGTAGCCACTCAAAACTGAGCCTGGAAGGTATTGGAGGAAGGGGGAGTTCACAGCCCTGAACTTGCAGGAAGCTCCCAATGCTGGATTCAGGAGCAATGGGCCATTTTCTGGAAAGTGTTCACCTTCAGGGCAATCTCAGCTCTGAGATTTGCTGTGTGATGGCCCCTGCCTGGAGGCATGACCCTGCCAGGAAACTAGGAGGGGGTCTAGATGCCCCTTCCATCCCACCCTGTGCGTCTGCCCCTGAGCAGGGGGGCTTCCTATGTGCCAGGAACACAGTTCACAGGGACATGGTAGTAGTTGGTTTTGATGTTTTGTTTTGATGAATACTTTAATATGTCTACAGAACAAACAGAACTGTGGATGCTGTTTCACATTTTACACACCTGGTTTTTGCTGGACTTTACACTTTGGGGTTTAATGGGATGGCGGCTGCTTGAGTTCCTCCAAAGTTAAGCTTATCTCTGATCTCCTGAGTGGAGGCCTGGGGCAGCAGAGAGGCCATGTTGTGAGGGGTTTCCAGGGCTGTGTGGTCTGAGCGGCAGCTCTCAGGCGCCAGGAGCAGGCTTGTCTCTACCAAAGGCATTGAGTGGGGGTGGGGAGGCTGCTTATAAATTCAAGAACCATTAGCAGAATGCACCCCACCACCCTCTTCTACCTCAGTTGCTCCAGGCAAACAACACTCCTCTGTTGGGTCTAGCTGCTGTCCTTGGTATTACCTTTGGGTCTTGTCCTCCAAGATGTCCCTTTCCACACATTTTTCACCTGATGGAATTCCTAATAAGTGCTGGGGATCTGCAGCCCCCAGGTTCTGTCCCCTTGTACCCATCACCCACAGGTGTGGGGACTTGGCCCCTACATCTGCAGTTGATTCCAGGGCTGGGAGGCATTGTGGGCAAAAGTTCCCCAGCTAAAAGCACAGTGATGGGCCTTGGAGAGCTGTAGCACCCCCACCCCAAGAATCTCCACCAATCACTCCCACAACCACTCAAAAACTCATCCAGCCCAAGTCAGAACAGTGTACACATTCTGCAAAGTCAAGTCCTCCAACCGCCTTCCAAGGAGATTTTCACACTCTGTTCCTTCATGGGAATTCCAGAGTTGCCCCTGTGCAAAGACTCCTCCTTCCCTGGGACTCAGGAAAGAGCTAACATTCCCCTGCCCTTTTTAGGCCTCTGTCCATGTTCACAGATAAACACACACACACACACATGCACATGCGATCTAGCCTTGGATCAGCAACAGCGGCCAGAGAGGGTCTGGAATGGAGCAGGGGGAGGCCTGATGCTCAGCTTAGCCCCCTGTCACTTCCCAGCAGGGCCCATTGGGCCCCAGTTACCTCTCTGTGGCCTCTCTGGACTCCAGCTAATTAGCAGCCACAGGAAGGCCTGGGGAGGGGGCACTCAGGCCTGCCGCCGCAGAGCCCTGCCATTAGAGCGAGCGATCGATGCCATGGTTGGGGAGGGCAGCTAAGAGGAGGGGGCCTGGAAAGGCTCCTGAGCCGCATAAATAACTCATGGGCAGGATGGGAGCAGCTGTGGCCAGCTGGGTTCTATAAAACCTCTTCCGCTCAGGGCCTGTCTCAGGGCCTGTGCCTCCAGCTCCTAGTGCCCGAGCAGCCCTGCCCTTCCCGGGGTGGGAAGATGCCCTTGAGCTGAAGGGTCAGCTTTTATTCCCCATGAACAACAAAAAGAGAAAGGAATCAACAATGTCTTTTAGCAGTAATCAGAGGATCTGGGAGCGGTGTCTAGAGGGTGACTCGTCCCCCTCACCTGCGAGCAGCAGAGACGCAGGTGCTCAGAGACAAGGAGGACAGGAGTGAAGCCTCTCTCCCTGGGCCGTTGTCAGCCTTGCGGCGGCACTGGTCCAGCAGACAGGCCAGCTCTCTCCCAGGGCTTCATTCTTTCCCCAGCACCCCAGTTGTTGTTGTTCAGTCATGAAGTCATGTCCGACTCTGCGACCCCGTGGACTGCAGCACGCCAGGCTTCCCTGTCCTTCACTGTCTCCCGGAGTTTGCTCAAACTCATGTCCATTGAGTTGGTGATACCATCCAACCGTCTCATCCTCTGTCGTCCCCTTCTCCTCCTGTCTTCAATCTTTCCCAACATCAGGGTCTTTTCCAGTGAGTCGGCTCTTCCCATCAGATGGTCAAAATATTGGAGATTCAGCTTCAGCATCAGTCCTTCCAGTGAATATTCAGGGTTGATTTCCTTTAGGATTGACTGGTTTGATCTCCTTGCAGTCCAATCCATTCCCTAATCCCTCTGCACATCTCCCAAGGCTGGAGCCTCTGATGAGGAGGGCCCAGCTGATTCCTTTCTGCCTCTGGGGTGTCTACACCCGTGTCCCTCCTCCTCCCTCAGGTATAAGTTGACTGGTGGGCCCTGGGCATCAGCTCACTCTTTTGGAGCTTCGGGGCATCCTACCTCAGGTTGCTGAGACTCACAGTGTCCGCTAAGTGCTAGGGGAACCCTGGAGATGAGGGGGCCTCATTTCCTAAATCTCAGGCCACAACCTGCGCAGGGGTGGAAAGATGATCTGTGCAGCTGGTGTTCATCACGCCAAAAAGACTTGAGGAGACTTTCTTCCCACAGAGATTTGGGTCCAGGAGTTTCAGCCTTGGCTCTGAGCACCACTTCCTAAAGGCGACACTGTGATACTGTCCCAAAGGACTGTGGGGGAAGAGCTTGCCCGTCACCTCCACGCACCAGGCTCAGCCTCACTCCAGTGACCCTGGGACTTGGTCTCGCTTCCTGGCTCACATAGCATTTCTCACAGCTGACTGGGAGGTGTCCCCCCAGCACAGCTGCAGCATTTCTGCCTGTTCTATCCCAGGCTGCAGGCCCCTCTTTTTTTTAATAATCAACCTGTGCTCTCCCAACTTCTTTCAGAATGACAGTGTTTGGTGGTGGGCAGTGGCTAGGTGGCAGCTCTGGGTTGTCCCCAGATCCGTCTAAGATGGTGGCATCAAGGTTGTTTTGAGTCCTTAGTTTAAGTATGATCTGGGTGCACTCTCCAGATCATAGCACAGCTGTAAGATGAGATGACACCCATTGTGTCAGGCTTTACAGGGGTCATGTGATGGTTTGTTTGGCCCGAAGTTAAATGAGTTGGTTATGCAAACAAGACACACTTCTCCTTCCCCACCCCAGGAGCTGTCATGAGAGGCTGTTGATGGGCTGTTTGAAAATAGGGGCCGGAACTCAAGCGGAACGCTTTCAGGCAATTCAACTGCCTCACGTCCAAGACTTGGAAATATGGAGCAGTTTCTTTTGAGAGCGGGTGTGGCCCTGGTGGCAGGTGAACCCAAGCTGAGAGGCGGGTGCCCTGAGCTCCAGTCCCAGCCCTGCCGGTGACCAGGTGTGTGAGCCAGGCCAGGGCACGGCTGCCTCACAGCTCACCGGCTGGCAGTGTCTTATCCGTCAGATGGAAATGGATCAAACTGTGGTGGTTAAACTCTGTTCCATGGCGATTCTAAAGGTGCCTTAACTCCACCACAGGGAGGTGGGGGGCAGAAGGAGGGCTCCAAGGCCCCCTCCTACTTCACCCAGTGCCTCTGCACTTCTGCCTGCTTGGCACAGTAAGCTTGTCTTCATTATGTTGTTCAAAGAATTCTGCTAACTTGTTTTTGATTTTTTAAAATTGGAGTGTAATTCCCAGGTGGCTCAAGCTGTAAAGAATCTCCTGCCAAAGCAGGAGACACAAGACACGCAGTTTGATCCCTGGGTTGGGAAGATCCCCCGGAGGAGGAAATGACAACCCACTCCAGTATTCTTGCCTGAGAAATCCCATGGACAGAGGAGGCTGGTGGGCTACAGTCCATGATGGGGTCACAAAGTCGGACGTGACTGAGCACGCATACAATTGCTTTATGATGTTGTGCTAGTTTCTGTTGTACAACAATGTGAATCAGCTGTAAGTATACCTGTA